TCACCATGCTCTGCTAAGTGAAGGCAGGAGCCCCTCATAGGTTACTGAATGTATAAGACCCATATGTGTAACTGACCCCGAGAACTCACCTTCCTTAAAAGAAAATCCCAGCCGTCCTGAAATGAATTACTGGTTAACTACTATTAATATGCCATAGAGCTGGAGAGTCGTCTACAACACTGCAAGATCAATAACAGTATTTATCGTGCATCATATTGATCTTCTATGAAAGAGTGGGCCATATTTCACACTGTGTACATAGTGCAAAAAAAGTAGCATCGGTTCTCTACAGGGATTAGTAAAGACATAGAAAAGAGCTTAGAGATCCAAGGGCACAACTGCATGAAGGGATACTGCTGTCTCACTGCAAGAGTGTTGCTCACACATGGAGAGGCTCTGACAGCCCTACATTGTAGATTTGGTGTTCCAAAAACTGAGTGAGAATAGTAACCATTCTTTTGTTGGTTTGCTTTTATAATTTCTGTTCCTTCTTACACCGGTTCAGTCCCATATTTTTAATCGTGTCCTGTTTGCAACTTGCAAAATGTTAAAATTCATGGCTAGTGGCAGGGGAAAGACCCAGGAGCCCTCCCCAGTTTTTCCATGTAGAGGGTGAAGACAGTCAAGGTGTGAGCCCAGCTCCTGCAGCAGCCCTCTTGTTTTAAAGGGCAGGTGGAGGGGCAGAGTGGGAGTTTGACGGCGCAGCAGCAGTTGCCTTGTTGAGAGCTTAATTCCTCTCGAAAATTGCTCCCCTTAGAGCAATGAACCTCAGGGCTGCCCCTCATGTGCAGGTGTTGTAACTTGGCAAGCTCTGAGGCAGGGGAGGACCCTCTCCTTGCCAGCAGAGCCATTCAGCTGTGTTGAATTACATTTTGGAAAAAAAAAAACTGAGCTGAAAGGTGCTTTCTTAACCTTGATACTCTCTCCTTGCCGATGGAACACGTAGCCATGGGCTGACAGCCTCCCTTGAGGAGGACACCTTGCTCGTTGACCAGCCAGAGGTGGGGCTGTGGGAAGGTTCAGCCTGTAGGTAGGAGTCAGGAATTACAGGTACAGGCCAAAGACCGACCAGAGTAACCCCAGTTAGTTCAAGTTTAGTTACAGCCATTGCTTCCGATAGATCTGCCCTATTCTGCAAATGGTGGCCATGCCCGAGGATGCTGCAGCCCAGAAGCAGTGTGCTTGCCCGCCAGCTGGCTAGCAGACTTCAGCTGGAGAGGACCACCATGGATAGGGCAAAAACTCCCTTGGGCATGTGATAAACGTGAAATCTTCTCTGGGCAGATCTCCGAGTGCCTTGTCTTATCCCTAAGACAGTTTAGCAGGGTTCTTTGGCCTTTAATTCTACTCCCCTTGGCACTTAGCTCTGCTTTGAAGGTACCCCATGTGGGCACTGGCTGGTCTGACCTGCTTTTCTTCCTGAGCTTTCATTGCTTTCAGGGCTTTCTCCATTAATAGGAAAACTCTTTCCCCTTAATGTATTTACAGTTGTGTATGTTCTGTATGTGTTGTATATGTATGATGTATGCATTAGTAGTAGGAGAGGACATGATTCAGCCAGGCTGGGTAGGGTAAGAGTGTAGAGCTGGACTGCAGACCTGCCCTTGACCCGGTGCATGCCAAAGTTGCTGAAGACCTGCAAGAGCTCAGCTCTCCAGAGGCATCCTTCCCTCAAGCTGGCTGGTTCAAGACTGAGGAGTTTAGAGTAACCCCTGGGATGCTTTGACCTGGTCTGACCTGACATCCGCCCGCAGTCTGGATGGCACGAAGCTATGTCTTGTATGAGATGTCTCCCTTCTCCCGAGTGAAGCACCGAATTGCCTCCAGATGCTGCAGAAAAAAAGCAGAGACTTGTCCCAAAGCATGACATCAAAGAAAAACTCATCTCCTAAATTCGGAGAGAAAGTGTGAGTTGAAGCATGTGGCAGCTTTCTGTTGGTCTTTGCCAGATGTTGCCAGTCCTTCCATCTTCAGGAGCATGATGTGGCTTGGGATTTAGGGAAGATTAACTCTACAGGCCATCTTTCCAGCGCTGTCACAGGAGTCCTAGTTCTGTATGGAGTTGCGTGTGTCTGTCCCTTCACTCGAACTTTCCCCTTTCCCATGGCTTCTGCTTTTTCTGCTAACCCTCTGGGGCACATCCCTGTGGTGTGGCTGTAGCTCAGAAGGGTTGTGAGGGCTGTTGACATCTGGGGATTTATGTGCGTGCGTGCATGGGTGGGTGAATGAGCAGGTGACTGGCTCTACATTGAGTCTTAAGAGGGCAGCTGATAGTGCTGTAGAGGCTATTGGAGAGTGGCGGGACAGCAGAAGGAAAGCAGAGGACCGTTCTGGTGGATTCAGCCCTGAGCACTGAACTGCTGGCAGCTGTTGTGCAGCTGGATAAGGGAAAATGGGTGGGAGCAAGTCAACCATTTTACACTTCCGGTGGCAAATGATGGTAACCCCAACCACAGACAGGAGGTAGAAAGAGAGAAGAAGGGGCAATAAGTGTATTTTTTTCTCCTACTTAATGCAGCAGAAGACTGCCACCGCTGCTCTTTCTTCAGGAAGGAGCTGTAGCACTACCAGCCACCTGAACGTAACAGAGACATCAAGGATGCTTGTATGATTTTGGGGATGACTGCAGCAGGTCGCTGTTCTAGTTTAGCCCATCACATGTTAGGAAGTGTAGTGCATGAGACCTTTCCAAAAGTTGCAGCAAAGCCTGCTACTTTCTCCCCTCCTTCCTTTTAGCTGCTGACATCTCAGGGTGGCTCACCTTTCCTGTGTGGGTGTAAAGAGGCCCCATCTTCCTGGTGCTAGTATTCTTAGTGGAAAGTATTATCCCTTCTTACAATGCACTGCAAGTGGAAAGATACTGCAGAGGTTTCAGAAGAAATTGCACATCTGTGCGGCATAGCATAGCCCTGCCAGAAGTTAAGCGGCTGGCTGCCTTGCATATCTCTGTCTCATGTGAAATCTGTATCCCAGCTGGGAACGTGTTGGAGGATTTTGCTTTTGGCTTCTAATTTTCAGCATGAAAACCAGAACAATTGGACCACAGCATCATTCGGGAGCTAAGTTTGGGGAGGGGAGTCAGGCTTATGCTATGATTTAACAGAATTGTTGGCTTTTCAGTGTCAGTGGTCTTAAGTTCTGATTTTGTCAAAGACATGGACAAAAGGACTTTGAAGAGAGGCCTGCCCAGAAGCAGAATAATAGCTATATTAAAATTTCATTAAAATATGAAAGGGCAAAAACTGTGAAGGGTCTTTTGTGGCATTGCAGACTCCTCTGTTCCATGCGCAAATTTGAGAGGTGCTCCCAATGAAAAAGACCAGCTGGCTGGGTTCTTGCTCGCATAGGGCTGAGGGGCATAAAAATCAGATGCAGGAGGCATAAAATGCTCTGTGTGCTAATAAATGGGTATAGTTCATTGATGTCAACAAAATGTCAGCAAGAGCTGAATGGGGGCACTGTACAATTTAGTGACCTGGAAGGAGACTATCCATGATTGCAGTAGAGAGCTTTCATTACAGCTGAAGAAGTGAAACAGATTTGCATTGTAAATGGCAATAATTGGTAAAACCGATCATTGGATCTAGTGTGCAGCTAACGCACAGTACAGTGGAAGGTGTTACCGTGACTCTGAGAGGCTGGCTCACCATATTCATTTTGCAGGTGAGTAACCAAGGTACAGATAGATATACCAAGAGAAAGGCATAAAACAAACTAGGCAACGCCTGCCTGACATCTCTCTTAGAGCTGATATTTCATACATGCCTATTGTCCATGCTGCTTCATCTCCATACTGACAGCCCTTGAGAGCTCATCTTTGACAAAAAGCAATTGTTACATGTGCTTTAAGCCACGTCCTTTTCTCTTCCACGGTGGAGTTAGACAACATCATGGGAAGAGCAGGAGCTTCTTGCAGAAGGGACCATTGTGCTGCAAATACCCCAAGGGTTACAGGGACGCAAGCTAGAACCAGGGCTGCATCGATGGTGGGGTTTACAGTTGCTCCCTTGTTTAATATGTAAATGTATATTCACTGTGTGGTTAGACTTTCTAAGGTTGTGGCAGTTTTTTGCTGTGTCTGGCTCAGCTGGGTAGCTGATGCAGCGTGTCAGAGCTTGGCTGTGAAACAATACTGACAAGCACCTTCCTTTTTCATCCTTGCAAGTATTGCAAGGCACCAGTTGACACTGGAGTGAGGAAAACGGGACTCTAAAACAGCCTCTGGGAAGGCCCCCGTCTTCAGGAATGACAGGGGAGGCAGACCTTTGTGGGGGCAGCTTGCGGGGAGTGCAGCCAGCTGGGCTCTGGTCTGGAGGCACCTGAGGGTGCAGACACCAAGTCACGAACAACCCCCACCTCGTCCTTCTCTTTTGCCAGTGGTGTTAGGAGCTTGTTCTGATTTTGTAGGTAAACATGCGCTAAATTTGAGTTTGGAGGTTGGGCAGGGATGGAGGGCCTCCCTGCTCGCAGTTGGCACCTGAGACACCTTGGCTGATTGTGCGGTGCTTTTCCTACTGCAGCTTCCTCTTGGCCTTGTGGCTGTTTGCCTGTTCTAGAGGCATGTTCAGAAAGTGTCCTCTCACCTGCAGGACAATGGTGTCATCCTGTAGCTAGAGCCTTTCTGCTTCCAAGGGGCTAAGAGAAACTTGGCACACTGTTACAATTTAAAAATAATAGCGGGCTGCATCCTTAGATGGTGTAGATCATCATTAGATCAGCTGATGCTGCTTGAGGACTCAGAGCACTGTCTTAACCTGCGGTTGGTTTTGTCTCCTGTTTTGCAGTCTGCGGTGTCTGTAGGTGGTCTTGAGCTTTGAGTGACGTTAGTCCACTTGAGTTTCCACCAGACGTCCAGCCGTGTTTCGCTTTCAGCTCCCATCTCTTCCTATTCATTACCTTCAGCCCAGCCTTCAGGAGAAGTAATAGCTCGTCAGAAGGTGAAAGGTAATGGTCTTATGGAGCCTCTTGTTTCATAATGGCTTGTTTTTTTTCTTTTCCAGAGGGACGGATGCTCATTCAGGACATCCCTTCCATCCCCAGCAGAGGGCACTTGGAGAGCACGTCTGATTTGGTTGTGGACTCCACCTACTACAGCAGTTTTTACCAGCCATCTCTGTATCCTTACTATAACAACCTGTACAACTACTCCCAGTACCAAATGGCAGTGGCCAGTGAGCCTTCCTCAAGTGAGACAGGGGGTACAATTGTAGGGTCGGCCATGAAGAACAGCCTTCGAAGCCTCCCAGCAACATACATGCCAAGCCAGTCGGGAAAACAGTGGCAGGTATGATGTTACAGAGGTGTTACATGGAAGAGTGAGGTGGCCAATAATCTGTTTCTTGGGTCTGATTCTGACCTCCTGTTTACTGGTTTCATGGCAGTGCAAAACCAGAACCAGATTCCAGGGTGGGATTAGGACCCACGTTAGGAAAGTTGGCCGAAATGGGTGGTTATGATGCAGTACAACGAAAGCAATGATAACAGGTATAGGTAGGTTGCCACAAGCACAGATAAAGGGCACCCACTTGATCTATCTTCTGATTTACATCATAGCAGATTATGGGCTGTTTTCTGGAAAAAGAGTCCCAACTGAATTACCCAACATAGCATTCTGGGAGCTTCAGGTGTCATATCTGAGAGGCTTTGCTCTTCAGGAGCCTGTTCTTTTCCATCTTTCACATCCAAGGCACTGAAGTGACCCAGGAGACCATGCTGTTGTGCAGTGGGTTGGTGGCAGTCAGTTGAACGTGACACAGCGTGTTGCTAATGGTGTGTTCTGGCAGCGTCAGCTCCAGGGCTTGCAATTTCGACTTGGGTAGCTCGAGTTACAGGCTGTGCCTAAGAGGTTTGCACCAGAGTTCTGTGTACTTCATTAGTTAGGGTATAAAGCCAGCTGAGCCCTCTCACTCTAGGACTTGATAATTGTAGCCTCCAACTCAGTACTGGTTGGAGACTGGAAAAAGGGGAAATCTGCCAAGGCAGGGGATTCTTGTGAAAGTAAGTGGAGCCTTTTCAGTGACCCTGAGGCTGTTCGGTCTTGGGCTGCAGTGGTGCTTTTCTATCTGAGATTGAACTTGGGAGCCTGCACCCTCTGAGTCTGCGTACGCCCATGTCCCTTGTCCAAGGGCAGGAGAGGGCAGACCTCTTCTGTAGAGCATCAAGGGCAGGCTGCCTTCTGCAAAGGCTCTGTTGTGAAACCACTCAACAACAAAAGATTAAATGTCCACTGCAACCTCCTTTCTGAAGGGAACAGATGGGTCATCCCCTTTGCTGACAGAGAATTCCTCTAGCAATTCTGGCACAGGGACCAACTCTGAAAGGGCATTTTAACTTCTGATACCAAGGACCTGGAACTAAGACCAGGATGATTACAATTACTGTAGCAGTCCACAGCACCTTCAGCGAGGCTTTCCTATCATTAGACTCCTTTTTCATGGAAAGGTCCTTCTGAAAATGTGGGAGCCTCTTGGGGCAACAGCTGTGAGGTCCATGAATTTTAAGATCATGGCTTTACAGCAGTCTGCATTTAGTACTATTCCATGTCCCTTTTTTACCATGAGTACAGCTGTATGGGGAAAAGAGCTGTCTCCCTTCCTTCTGCTGTGTGAGCCCACACCACAAGCGCTTTCTTCTCTCGATGTGTTGACAGGCTTCACCACAATCACCTTGAAATACATGAAGGTACACCTTTTCAGTTAGATTAGTTAATAGCATCCTCTCTACCTGCTGAATTTTATCACCAGACCAGGGGGACAATTAGTCAAGGCAAGCTGGAAAGCAAGCTGGGGATAGGATTTTGTGTGTGGTAATGAGGTGAGGTGCCAGTGCTTTTTTAGCTTTTTCATTTTGGTTGATTGGGTTAAATAATAACTCTGTCATAGCAGAGTTATTTCAGATAGAAAGTTACTTCTGAAGCTTTTGCAGTATCTAGCTTGTAAGAGCCTACTGCAGAGCTGATGCTTAGAGACACGGTCACCACACAAGTGAGGGACAGCAACATTCATCTTGTGAAAATAATGTTCTTGCAGGCTGCTAGTCCCACACTTCACCATTCCTCCAGCCAGTAGAGACTTCTGTGATTTTATTTGCTTGGGAAAAAAGAAAGTAAATTACACCTATTGACTATCCTAGGACATAGTGTTTGAGGAAGAGATACGAGGGTATGTTAAAATATGTTAAACCTTTGAGTGAAGATGGTGTCATCTCGGTTCTGTTGCCATGTACTGTCATTTGAAACTAGACTATATGTGTAAGAAGTCTTGGCCTAGAGGGTCTGTTGTCTCACTCTGAGATTGTCTGTTTCTTGTGGGACCTTTGGCACCCCTTAAAGAAATAAAAGCACTAGTGTGTTTTCCATGCATTTTTCTCTTGGGGCCCTGCAGAATCTGTAACTAACTTCTGCTTAAATGCCACTCAAATTAGTGAGGTACTGAAGAAGTGATGAAGGAAAAAAGAGGTGGTTGTTGTCAAAAAGGACTGTTTTCCTTCCCTCAGCAGGCTCCAAGCGCTGGGTGTTCATTCCCACCTTGTGGGATGTATCGCATGGTTCTGTTCACCTCCATGTGAATTTAGCGATTTACGTCACCCTAAGATTTTAATTTCTCCTGGCCGAACCTTTTGGGATCTTTCAGTGCTGTTCTGGTGAGATGTCTGTGCAGAAAGACTAGAGGTAGTGCTTTCTGCCTGCAGAAGTGACATCTCCCCAGCTTCTAAATGGCCTAAAACCAGGACCCACCTCTCCAGTTCAGTAGGGCAGAGTGTAGTTCAAGGTCAGTGTCATTTAACTTACAAGCTGTTTCTCAGAGGCTGATCTGCAAGAAGGATTGTTATTGCTGGAAGAGTTACGAATCATGGGGTTTGCATACTGTTATGACAGCATAACGTTGCACAAATAATCATAAAAAGTTTTACAGTGAGAGCTAGGCTAGATAATGGTTGATGGCAGTGGGTGCAGTGATGCTGAGGTTGTAAAACACTGTGTGGCACTGAAGATGGTTTTTTGTAAGGGGAACGAGCTCTCAACTGCTGCATGTGGTTAAACATCAATTCTGCACATGGAAGGTTACCAGCAAGGGAAGATCACAGAAATACAGTGTTAAATGGAGAAGGATGAATGAGTTTCTCTGTCAGGCACGGTAAGGAGTCACAGGACAGTTTCAAAGCATGTTCCACAAAGAGAAATCAGACCTTGCTTACACCTTCAGGGGGTTTTGCTGGCAAACCTATGCAGGCTGATTCTCTCCAGAGGAAACACGTAGCTGTATCTACACAGGGATTTTTGCTGGACTGCCTGTACTGACTGGGTTTATTTTTTACATGCACAGGCTTTCTTAACCAGTCTTCCAGTACGAGTGAGTCTGCTTATGTGACTGGTAGTGCTATAACTGTTTTGATCAAGGTTTTTGGTTTTTGCTTCTTTACCAAAATGATAGCTGTGCAATGACTGCTGTGACCAAATCGGGCAGCTTGCTAAGCTGTGAGCCCACAGGAGGGTTTCTGTATTGGTATAAGTCACCTGTGTGCTCACTGGAAAGGTATCCTAGTTTAAGCAGTGTAGACAAGACCCCTGCCTTTTTCAGGCTCTGTTGGTGGAGGCTTGCTTGTCCTGGAATAACTGTAACCACACAAGGAGAATTGCATACTTAAAGTAAGGTAGCTTCTGGATGCAGACAAGGCCTTGAGCAGCCCGGCTGTCTGCTGTTCCAGAATTTAGGGAGCAAGGGAGAAAAGCCGGGGAGGAAACGTGTGAGTGTGTGTGGGATGGGATGAGGATTAATGCATCATTGAGCCTTGGCAAATAAACTGAATCACTGAATCTTTAATGTAGATTAATGTCAGATTTCATTAGTCTTTGTTCTTTGCAGAGGCTTGCGTACTTGAGTGGATTCATAGGGGTGCAATTTTTTTAGATATTTCTGTGTAGGTTTTGTTCATTTGTATATAATTATCCCAGAAGCTGTATCCACCATGATTTGGTAAGCATAATGAAGATGATAGTTTTGGTCGAGACCCTTTCAGTCATTTATATTCTGCTGCTTTTGCCAGCTCTAAGGCAGATAATCAGCTATGTCTGGTGTTGCACCTGAAGAAAAGACAAGCTTAGGTCAGAGAGGAAATGTAGCAGATGTAGTGGTTACTGTGCATCTCCTTGCACTCCAGTTCTGTGTGAGCGTCTGGACCCTCCCTTGAAGCTCTCATAATTGTTCATTACAACAGGAATTTATGTGCCTTCAATCCAATTAACAGTTAAACGGGTTCACCAACGTTAGTACTGCAAGTCAGAGCTTGTTGGTATACAGTGGAAGTTGGTGCTTCTGACACTGCGGCCCGCTTAGGGACAGCAACTGGAAAATGATGGGGTGACTGCAGTCTTTTCTACCACAACAAAAGTAAAACTTGGATGGACATGTCTGAATCTAATCAGGTTTAATTCTCCAGGCTGGTAATGAAACTGCTGGCGTGTGACTCACAGCGTGAGGATAATCGGGACTCCTTGTGAGTCAGTGTCCTCCCCAAAAAGTGTTAAAACTCTTCTGGTTCCTGCAGCCATACCGTTAAAAATCTGCAAGATACAGAATGTGCCCCCACACCTGGGGACCAATGGCTGAGTTTTCTTTGTTACTCTGGTAACTCCAGGGATCCTGCTTCAGAGAAAGGTTAAGGCTGGCCAGGAGCTTTTGGACAAATTTTAGAATTTCATGTAATTTCTGTTTCATGCTCTGAGGGTTTTTTCCTCTTCCTTCCTTTCTTCCTTCCTTTCTTTCTTTTTTTTACTTCCAAAATCAACTTTTCGTTCTTTTCTTAAGCCAATTTGGAGCAAAAACCTGAAGTAAGTATTGGTGTGAGTGACTGAGAAATTTTAACTCATTTTCTAATATGGGAATTACACTTACCATTTCAGTATTCCGACTTCCAAAACCTCAACTTTTCGTTCTTTTCTTAAGCCAATTTGGAGCAAAAACCTGAAGTAAGTATTGGTGAGAGTCAGACTGAGAAATTTTAACTCATTTTCTAATATGGGAATTACATTTACCATTTGGAAGTGAAATATTTAGCATTGCTGAGGTAGGAAACTAGTTTTTAAGGATTTCTTAAAAAGTAGCAACCACATAAAACTGTCTTTTACTAAATCCAGAAAAATGTGGCCGTGATAGGGCAGCTAGCAGTTTGAACTCTTAAGAATAGCTGCTTGCTAGTAAAAAAGATTGCTCTTTTCAACTTCCACAACCTGTTTCTAGTTTCTGGCACAGTTTTTCCTCCAATAAGCCTGGCCTTCTTACAGAA